CTGTTTCTGACACTCCCACTTCAGCTTCAGCACATCATCTTAAAAATGCCACAGGGGAGGGGTGCTCTGTGGGGCAGCATAGCAGAAAGCTTCTCCAGGGAGGAGTTTTGTGGAAATAGATGGAGCTTTGTACCAACAAGTGTTCAGGCAGCTTCACATGGCTACCACAGAAGATTCAAGGATTTCTCTTTTTTAATTTTTTTTAAATTTTTTAAGCCACTTCAGTAGAAAACAGAATTGAATGTTAGTTTAGTTTCTTCATAATCAGTGACAGTTTTAATTTTTTTGTAGAAGAGAAGAAAAAGAAAGAGAAGAAGATTGAAAGAGAGATTAGAAATGTGAAATATAAACCAAGACAACACACTCGACATCTGTCTACACACCTGTAAAAATGGAGAAAACAAAAACACAGCAACAAATAACGTGTATATCATAATAATAATTATAACTTTGCTGAAATATATACATACATGCAAACATATATAGATATCCATACACACATACATATATTCATACACATACACATTTGTATACATATCCATATCTACACTTACATACACCCTCAATGACCATCAGAAACCCCAGAATCTGAATACCAGTTTGTGTGAGGTTGTGAACATGCATGTATATACAAGATTTTTGCAATAGAATATTTAATAGTGACTGTGGAGACCCAAAGACCCAACCCCCAAGACCCGAAGCAGACATAAGGGGGACCAGGGCCAAAGACCCCGAGAGTGACCCCAAGCGCGGAGCCCCCAGGGGCACCAGTGCAGAAAGAGCCGCACACCCGCCGCCCCCAGAATGGACCATAGAAGGGATCCAGGAGAGCAATTCAAGCATTTCTCTTAACATGCATGAATGAGTCAAAGCAACACTCTGTGTATGTTTTTGATGAGGGAATAACCATATACCATGATTTTGCAGAATACACCCCTTTTAAAATTTAATGTGCAAAATAAGTAGCAGTGTGTCTAATAGAAGATGTATTTATTTGAAAAGCCAAACATCAAAAACTTTACAAAAACAGGAAGCTGTTTAAAGCAGAGACAGTAGTTAAAATGACTAATGTCAATCTTAAAGTTTGTATTCTCTGAGCTTTTGTTAAGTTAGTAAAAGCAACCCGATGGTTCACTCGCTTGTCATATTTCTTTATCTTTGCTTCCTCTCATACCTTTGTCTCAGGTCTCTAAACATGACCACGTCAGATGTTGCTGCTCTAGAAACAAAAGTTGTTTTAAGTGTGGTTTCTTGGCCTCCAGAGGCTCTAGGGCAGATTTTGGTCGGAGAACTTGCATAATGAATGTCAAGTGTGGCATCAGAACCAAGTCAGAGGTGCAAATTTTAAAGGTTCACACGCGTCTCTTGTGCTGCTTTAATGCCATGTCCTGCAGGCACTGCAGCTGATTTCACCTATTAAGCTGGACTTTCATTAACTCAGTGGCAAACACATGAATACATTCTGGTTGAAGAAAAAAAAAGAATTTGTTATGGTCACTTTATTTGAATAGCTACAGGAAAATTAGTAAACTCAACAAGACCTTTTTTGCTGGACAAAGACAGTGAGGAAATTGCACCCTGAGTCTAACATTGCCTCTAATTAGTTTTACTCACTGTTTTGTTTATTAGTTTTTGATTCAAATGGTTTTTTTAAATTAATGTTACATTTTTCACTTAAAGAAGTTGAGAAAAGTCAGTGTACTCAGGGAGAAAAACTGGCTTAAGCTTAATTCCTCCTGAGCAGACTGAACCTACAGTATAATGCTAATATTTAAATGAAACTACGTTGCTTTAAAAAAGCAGTGAGAGCTGCTGAAATAAACTGTTTATTGGCACTTTTATATGTCTGTATCTGAATAAATCACACGTAGTATTAACTCCATTAGTAAACAAGTTGTTACATAGTATGGGTGTATAAAACTTTGACTAATCTGCTCCAAACATGGTCACTAAGCACTGGTTTCTACACCAGGTGACATCGACTGAATTTTAATCCTTATTGAATGTTGTGTGAAAGTTATTTTTAATTGCAACCACTTAGTTTGCTCGCTGTAAAAATGCATCTTTTTGCCTCCTATTGAGGCAAACACGCACTGGTTACACTTTTTTTTAAACAGTTCCTCACCATTCTTTCTCCTTTTGTTAAATGTTGCAGATAGCGACTGTGCCAGGGGGCTGTTAGCGGGGAATCCAGGTTCATTTCCATTGCATCTGCTTTAGATGATTTCTCATAATCCTTCGTTTTGTGAAGGTTGAGATCAATGAAAACTGATACAAACAAGCATAACTGAGCTATAAGCAGCACTGTTGCAGTATGAGGCTTAACATTTTATATCCGCTTTCATGGCTTTGCATGAATAACATGCGTGACATCAGAAAGGTCATGTATGACGTGTAGTGGGTTTACAGTGGGTTTGCATTGATCAAACACTAAAATGAGGGAATGCTCGCTTTACTTTTGAAACTGTTAAATCATTATATAAATTTGCTGTTTTCTGGCTGCAGAATCTAAGTTTTTGGTTCAGAGGTCAAATGCTGTGCCGGGAGAACAAGTTGTAGGCACTTGAACTCACTCTTTTATTGCATTATTCCCTTTCCACCAGCTCCTTTCTATGTTAAGCTGTGTGAAAACTCACGTCCGTACTGGTTTGCTCTTTAGATGACATTTGAAAAGGTTTTATTTAGCTCTCAGTCTACATCCCGTCCAGTTTTTTGAATATGAACTAGTTTGTAAAAAGTTGGTTTTGGTTTAAATGAATGACTGTTTTTCAAATTTATCCTTTCTTTTTCTTTCATATAGTAGAAAAAGGCTCTTTAGTATCCATATAAAGGGGTAATAAAATGATGTAAAGTGGGATTTGGGGTGTTCTCTTCAGAAACATAAGCAGCATTGACAGGAAAGGCTGAGAGGACTGAGTAACTTCCTGACCTTTGTTGACAGACTTAAAGTGATGGACAGGATTTTACCTGCAGGTCAGAATTCTCTGCCGGACTGACATCGGCTCTCGTTTGATGTGCAGACGGACACGAGATCCATGAAATCAGCCATAAGGGAAAATCAAATCAATAAGATTTATTCAGTTTACAAGAACATAAAAAACATAGCTTTGAAGTAAGTGGGGTTCTGTGGAAAGGTCATGAACGTATGAACAGCTTACCTGTTGTAGGTTGCTCTTTGAACCACCTCAATTTGAAGAAATAGTTTGAATATAATAACAAGCTAAAGAGGCTGTGGTGTAGTGGTAGGGCAGCTGACTTGATACCAGAAGGTCACAGGTTTGATTCCCCTCAGGAACATAAATAGCTGCCTGCTGTTTTTGAGTGTTTGTCATGTGTGATGGGTCAGTCTCTTCACTGTGTCAGAATGTTTAAGCTCTAGTGGTAATAACTCCAAGTCTTTACCTAATTTCCCTCTGGGATCATTAAAGTATTTTTGAATTGAATTGAATTAAATTTTGCTGTTATTTTTACACTTCATGGTTATTTCAGTAAAAACATTTGCGATATCCATAGGACATGATACAGCCAGCTGCTGCTGCTGCTGCTGCCTGTGCTTGTAAATAACCACAAAATTCGACATAATTAACTGAAAAACTAACAGATATAAAAGTATATAAAATTGCATTAGAATGAACCACAATACAGTTTACCAAACTAAAGTTTTAAGACTCACTTTTGAATTCGCTTTGCCTCAACTAGCCATTAGCTCATCATTCCAGTTACAATTTAAAATTTTTTATCCAAACCGAGATCGTTCAAGCTATTTCCAACAGATAAAATAGTAACTGTTTAAAACCTTTCCACAAAATCCCACTTTAAAAGGTTTGATTTATACCTTTTAAGTATTAACTAGATTTAAAAACAAACTAATGTAAAAAATAAATTGTGTTTTGTTGCAGCCCTTAAAGCAGAGAAAGATTCTATGTCAAGGCTTAGGCACTTCACATAGCCTTTAAAAGTCAGGGTCTAATTTTGTTTTTTAATATACAGTATTTGCACATTTACAGATACACTATGGCTAATTTAGCTCATTTGGACCCTTTGTCCTCTAATGACCCTTCTGTGTGACAGCAGAATTATTAAGAGATTAAACGAGATGCTGTTGCGCTCACGTCCTCACAGTTTGCCAGAGTAAAAGACAGAAGGAATGAAATCTGGCAGGTTTTAAATGATTCAGGGAGGAAGGGATTTTCACAGCGTCTTTAGTGGTGGCATGGTTTCTCACCAAGTCAAATTACGAGTCTGCAAAGAGCGCCGTGTGATCGCAGTGCAGCAGAGCAGATGGAGAGCTACATCCATTTGTGTTATAATTTATAGCACCAGGGTCTCTATTTCCAGGTGCTTGTTGTGCCTCGACAGTGAAGTGATGAAAGACCTTATTTCTTTATTTTCTCTGTAGTTTTTTTGCTGCTGGATTTGTTTAGACACATGCTTACAGCGATTATTTATTCTTTATGTCACAAAAAATGTGTGTTCATAGCTTAGTTTCAGTCCAGTCAGTTCTGATCCTGCTCTTTGCAGGGAGAGTTTAACTGAAGAAGTTTTCTTTTATTCCTCATTTTATTTCTTTACGGGGGATTAGTTCAAATAAAATTACAGGTCTTCAGGATCAGCTCCTGCTGGGAGTTTTATCCTTTCTGTAGGCAGCCTGAAAGCACCGAGCAGGTTCCAACAAGTGCTTGAATCTTTGTGCAGGGGTACTGGGCATGTCAGTCACCAGCAGCAGGCATGCGATGTGCTGAGGATCAGAACACGTGACAGACGTTTAAACGTTTTCAACCCAAATTATCATCCACATCACATTAATTACAATCCAAAGTCTTAGGTTTGGTTTGTTGTTTTAAAAGCTGAGTGTAATCAAACTTTCTTTTTCTCTCTTCCTGCTTTTTTCATGTCACAGTGCAACCAGAAGGCACAAAGGAGGGTCCCACCTGCATGGACAAGAACCACGGCTGCGCTCACATCTGCAGGGAAGCACAGAAGGGTGGCATCTCCTGCGAGTGTCGACCTGGATTCCAGCTCACCCGTAACATGAAGGATTGCAAATGTAAGTCATCTCGACCCAAAGGGGTTTGGTTGCAAACCAGTAAAAACATCAGAGGAGTGAATGGTTTATGGGCTCCACGGGAAAAAGGTGATTGGGGTTTTGGGAACCGGCTGTTGACGGATAATCACGCTCATTCCACACGTCTTCCAAAAAAGGTTTGAAGTTGACATTTATGTTGCGTTGCTAAGCTGTGACTAATCTTCTTAAGAGTCCCCGTAAAGGGAAAAAACATGTTTTTCAAATATTGGGGGTGGGGGGGGGGGGGGTGGGGGGGGGCAGGATCATTTACAAAACCACGGCGAGTGCGGAGGTTACTCGAAGGGGCCTGCTCTGACGGACAGCGCACACTTCCTGTTGCTGTGCAACAGAGATCCTCATGTCAGAGCGGAGACCAGGGCTGATGGGGGATTTGTCTGTGTTTGGATAAGGATTGGAGAAGTGTTATTCTATAGTTTTATCGTGACAGCGCAGGAAAAGGGCAAAAGGTGTTGGGATGGTGGGGTGCAGAGAGAATGACGATGAAAGCCTCGGCTCCATCGCGCTCTTTGCCGCTCTGTCATCACAAGTGTGTGGAAGAAGTTCATGCTCCTTTTAGCTCATGCCACATACTTCTACTTACGCTGAAAGACGTGAACCTGCAAACGTAAAACTAAACTTACTATGTTGCTGAAATAAGTCAGAGTCAGGGATCTGCAACATGTGGTTCTTTGTCTATAACTTTACCATTTATACTTTTAGTATTTTACCTGACCACACATTTTGTTATATATGCAGGAAATTTCTGCAGCAGAATGTCTGATAACACAAGTAAGTTTGTGTGTGAACTCAATTATGTTTTAACAGAAATTAGTAGACATAATGCATCACTTATTGTAAATGCATGTAAATCCTTCAGTTTAATACCAACACTAGATCTGGCCCAAGATTTTACTAGAATGTTGAGCAATCCTTTTTACTGTTGAGGTTATAGTTTTTAGCCTCCTCGCCTTTTCCTTTATCCAACTTTTTGACAGATGTTCTTCAAATCCAGCAGATAATTCACATTTTTACCTCTGCCAAGGGCGAGGTAATGTTTTCGGTCGCGGATGTCTGTCGGTCTGTCTGTCGTTCTGTCATTCTGTCGTTCTGTCTGTGGGCAACATTACTCAAAAATTTGTGGACGATTGTCATGAAATTTTTACCACATGCGGGTACTGGGCCAAGGAACATATTTTTAAATTTTGGTGATGTTCCGGATCACGATGCGGATACAGGAATTTTTTTTCTTTTAACACTCTGAGATCGGCAAAGCTGTGATGCTTTCACAGGGCTTCTGTAAAAAACAGTGAGCTGGATTGGACAGCACGGACTTCAAACTTTATAAAAGTAATGTTAAAACCACATTTAATGATGAACAATTTTTGCCATACTATACGCATTTACAGAACATTTTGTGACCAGGAAGTGCATGACTGCACCATGAAACCAATTTTTCCCATTTCCTCAAACACACCACGTTTCTGAAACAACCAATCAAAACAGTTTCTCGCTACTGGGCTTGTAAACAGAGAGCTGCCGGGCCTCAAAGTTTGGAGATGGGGGGAGCCAGGAAGCACTTTATAAAGAGAGTCAAACCATTACAAACTCATACAAGGGGATAAAACAGATGTTTTACACGGTGAAATGTGACTGATGAAAACTTAGGAGCTTAATCCGACACCAGTTTGACAATGAATAACGTCGAGTGACGAGTCTGACTTTTTTTTTTCACATTGGACTTCACCGAGAAGAAATTCTGTGCATACTGCCTGCTTAAATATTCGCTAAGTCAGAACTTATTCGGAAAATGTGTTTCCATCTCTGCTTTTGCACATTAACAACACATTATAAGCAAAAACAATCAAATATGTTTTACTGTTTTGATTTTGTGGCTCAATTCAAATTTAATTTAGTCTGAAAGATTGTTAAAATGTGTCTTTTAAATGTAAAGACAAGTGAAGACAAAAAAAACCCTTCTGGATAACACATGAAGAATTTTAAAATAAAATATTTGCTAAAACTGACATTACAGAATTTTAAGAGTAAATTCAGCAGCTTTCTCCTGCTTTTTTGATGGAAAGGTAAAAACTAGTGCTGGGCATGTTGGGCATGTTATTATCGTGTTAACGCAGCTGACAAATAACGGCGATAATTTTTTAACGTGGGTTTACGCAGTTTCTTTACATTCCTCTGTCTGATCTCAGTTCTCTGTGCTGCCTGTGAAAACGCACACACACGGACACACACAAGCCCAGTGGTCACTGCGGGGAGACGGGATCTTGATCATTATAGGGCAGAAACATGCCTGAAGCTGCTGGATTGTTCAGGGCATTTTTTAATTTTAAAACCTTTCCCAATGGTGGGCTGGGAGGAAGTAAAGTTATCTGTAAGAGCTGCAACGCTAAACTGTCTAACCACCGGAGCAGTTTGAGCCTGAAATATCACTTCAGTTTAAAACCAGCGTAAACAAACAGAGGGAGGTTCTGCTGACCAGCATGTCGGAGAAAAAGGAAAAACTCAGGCCGGCTTGATTTGCCTTATTTGTTTAAAGTTTTTGAAAATGCATAGCCCCCCTTTTTTATAAAACAATACCTAAAATGCTCTAAACATATTTGAGTCAGTTAAATTCTGTGCAGCATAATGAAATTAAATCAAGAGTTCAAGATTTTTTTTGTAATTCCAAATGAGTATTATGAGGAATGAAAGATAGATGAAGCCCCAGTTGTCAGAAAATATACAATAAGCAATAAGAAGTTAAAATGAAAAGAAAAGAAAAACTGTACTTTGTGTGTCACAAATGTATTGCAACATACAAACATATACATTCAGCCATAGTAAAGTGACCGTTTCTAAAAAAAATAATTGAGATTAATCGCGATTAATCGCCAAAATATTTTAAGATTAATCGCGATAAAAATTTTTAATCTATGCCCAGCACTAGTCAAAACGTGACCTTTCTGTTCAATGATGATCTGTAATAAAATCAACAATGTTAAAATGCCTCTTCTCTGGCATCGCTAAGTGTGTGAGCTGCTCAGTTTAAAAACTACCAGCCAAAGTGAAAAAAGGTCCACTTCTTTAATAACGTGCTGTTATATAAACTCTAATATTTTTAAAACTACTACGGTTTTTTTATCGTTTACATCCTGTTAAATTTAGTTTGGAAGACAAAAATAAAAAGTTTGCTTTTTGGAAATTTGTCGCATTTTTTAGTAGAGGTGACAAGAAATCTGGATAGACACACTTTGAGTTTTTCAAAGTTTCAAAGTCCATCATGCAAAGCCATGAAAGATATTTTTTCAGTTTCTCTCCTGTACATTTGAAATGGATAAACAGCATTTCTGGCCAGGGGACAATAAATAATAAACTGATTTAATGAATGTTTTTAAAAACCTTAAAAAATAACAGACTCTTGATGGTGGTTTTAAAGCATTCTGTAGATTTAGTACTTGAATGTTGAACCTGAACCAAAAACTAAATATATAAAAAAAAGGCTGCATTATGTCTAAAGATGAATTTTCTCTCTTAATCACATTAAGCTGTGTTTAAACAACACAAACTATAAATCTGACAGCCTTCAGAACATTCAGAGTGTAGTTTAATGTTTGGATGATGAGACCGAGCTGGAAGTTTTGTACATTTACTAAAAACAACCTTTCAGGATGTGTTTTTAAAGGACTAGATACAGTCTGTCTAGAGGGGTGTCCAGTCCTGGTCTTTGAGGACATGTTTTATTTGCTTCCCTGCTCCAACACACCTGATTCAGTGTTAGATTTACCTCTTCAAGTTCTGCAGAAGCCTGTTTATCAACCATTCATTCAAATCCGATGTTTTGGAGCAAAGAAACCTTGAAAACATGCATTATATTCCCCAGGGACTAGGATTGGACACCTAACCTCACACACTTTTTATAGGACAGAATTAATCATCCAAAGGAAAAAAAAACAACAAAATCTGTTATTTTACATACTATTCTCCATATGTTCACCTCCAAGATATAAAAAACACCTTTGTGTGCTCTGTGACTCGAGCTTGTGTTAACTCTGCGTCTTCTGACAGTGACGTGCAACTATGGCAATGGAGGCTGCCAGCACATCTGCGAGGAGACGGATCACGGTCCCAAATGTTCCTGCCACGTGAAGTTTGTTCTGCACAGCGATGGGAAGACGTGTGTAGGTGAGTCGTGTCACCCTGACTCAACTGTCAAGTGCAGGAAATAATGCTATTAGAATTTTTAATATGTAAACAGACAAATTAAATGAAGAATTGAAACGGTTTGTATGTGTAAGCTAAAAAAAACAGGCTTTATTACTGGAAGTTTATCTCTGATCACTTTTATCGATTTGTGACATCCAAGGCCAAAAGGCTACCATCCACTCTACGCTTCTTCTTCTGCTATTTGAGTAACCTCACCAACTCTGCATTAGATCTCGCTTCTCCTTCCTCCTCCTTTTCCTCCTCTGACTTCTTGCTGTGCTTTTTTTCTTCTTCTGGTTTTCTCAGTCATGTCAGAAACACACACCTTCTATTAGCCCCTGGGTCATTTCCTCCACTGCTTCCTGTCTGGGATTAACTTACACACCTGACCTAACTTTCCACCGGCATGTATCAGTGTTTGTCTCGGTCGACTGAAGTTGAGTGAAAATCATTCAGCCACTCAGGCATATTGAAACGTTGTGAGGGGCACTTTTTTAAATTAAACTAAATCTGCAGCACAGAAAATTTGAAGCACGGGTCTCAGATTAAATATATTTGTCTTGCAGAAAAGCGCAGATTGATTTCATCAATAAACATGGAGGATTTTCAATAAAGTTGGCCCGATTTAAATGCAACACAAAACAGTCAATTATATATACATATATTTGTTAAGATTTTCTAAACAAACATCCATAGCTGAACACTATTAATCCCATCCACAACCATCTCAAACTTTTATGTCCTTTCTCCTGGAACAAATTAGATCAGTTTTCTCATTCAAGTTTTTTTGGCTTTTACGTCTACAAATTAGGGCTGTCAAATGATTAAAATTGTTAATCTATTAATTCCAAGGTAGCTGTGAATTAATCACGAATAATCATGATTAATCTGAAACTTAATATAAAACTTTACTGCATATTGCAATAAATTACTTGAGTTATTAATTAATATCTTTATTTTGAAATAAATTTGGTGCTTAAGAAATACACAAAACAATAATAAATCATGAAAATATCACCTCAATTGCACAAAAACAACAAAAAAATAAAAAATGCCCCAAACATATTTGAGTCAGTTAAATTTTGTGCAGAATAATGAGGTTAAATCAAGAATTCAAGGATTGTCATTCCAAATGTGTACTGCGTGAGGAATGAAGGATAGATAAGATAGATAGGCACAGTTGTCAGCAAAACATAAATATATAAAATAAAACAAGCCATAAGAAGAAGAAAAAGAAAAAAACTGTACATAATGTGTTACACATGGAGTCTTTGTTTTAAAATTTTATTTATTTAACCTTTATTTATTCAGGTAAACTGTTTGAGAACCACTTCTCGGTTACAAACATGACCTGGCATGCACTGAGTGCATTGCAATATACAAACCTACATATTCAGCCCTAGTAGTGATTGTAAATTTTAATCGCGATTAAAATTTTTAATCATGTCCATGCAGCACTAAAATTAATCAGAGTTATCTCGATTAGTTTCACAGCCATACTACAAATGCTTTCTTTCTGTCCAAAATGAACATTGTAAATACAGTATCTGACAGAAAACATGAAAAGCCATTCCAGATGTCTCTAATGTAGTTTTCAAAAATAAAAACACATTTTTACCAGTAAAGTGACAATAAAATTACTATTTTTTCATATGACTAGTTAAACAAACTTTAGTTAAACTTTAGCAACATTACAATAACAAATATCTAAAGAGCTCAGTCAAGAACTTAACTGGGTACAATATTTGCAGGAATTACAGAGAATATAAAATCCTAGCATTCACTTAAGGAATGAACGTCACCCGCCTCATTTCATCAGACTTTTACACTGAGATTATCTTCATTTGAGTAATGATGGAATTGGAGTTGTTTCAGTCAAATCATAAAAAAATATTCTAATTAGTGTTGTTCCGATACCAGTTTTTCAACTGGGTACAAGTACTTCTGTTTGGGTACTCACCAGCACAGAGTACTTACTGATGTAGAACTTAAACATTACACAATGACTTTAAAAACACATTTATTTTATTTACAACCAGGCTTATAGGCCTACAGCATCTCTGACTGGATCAAATCAAATATACAGCGTGATATGTGCTGCTGCAAAATTTTATAATGAATAAAATTAACAAATATAATTTTCTTTTAATTTGTTTTTCTTAAACATGGAACCGACAAACTTTTCACTTGAAATGTAAACTGTAACACATTCAGTGGAGTATCAATACTGGTATTGGTAGTTGGGGTGCACCGATTGCAGTTTTCTGGCCGATCACAGTATTTAAAAAGTCTATCTTGCTTATTCCGATTTTGTCCCAATACTGATTCTTTGAATAACTGACACTGTCAGGTGTTTTAAAGTCACAATACACCTTCAATGTTCCAATCTTACTTTATTGAAAAACACTGAAGAACATCAAGAATGGCTTAACAAGTGTGGAGAAAAATAAAAATCCTCTGAGAGATTATTTTTTACCTGGAAGACTTGAATTATGGATGTATGAGACACATATAGTGTAGCCATTCTATGGTAAAAAAAAATCATTAACTTTGTAATGATTTTTAGATATTTCAGACTTAATCTTTACTAATCCAATCTCAGCTGTGGATAAATTTAATTTAAACTCATAGGAATGTTCTTTTGGATATTTTACATTTCAAATCTGACTTGTAAGAATTGCTCATTTGTTAGTGATGTTTACAAGGTCACTGGAGATAAGAGTGTGGTTTGATTATGCGTTGCAAAGATCTGCCATAAAAGGATCCCTCTTATAGTATCTGTTTATTCAATAAAGTGTCAATGCAAGTTTTTACTTGTATTACAAACCCATTTCAATCAATTTACAAACTTTAATTCAAGTTTGTAACAACAGCAGCTGGAATGTGTTGGATGATTTTTTTTTTTTACAAAAACAAACAGAGGAAAAGTTTGGAAAGTGTGCCGGCAGTAGAGCCTAGAGACGTTGTTGTTTGGTTTTGGTGGCTGTTAAGTTTGAGAGCATGGTTTGAGCCGTGCCCGTTTGGCTCAGGGTTTTTGGATCCCTCTCAGAACCACACAGTCCCTTCGAGAGCCAGACCCATGTCAAGGTCTGGTCAGCCAACCTGTCATTATTGCTGTACCCCTGTAGGACAGGATGATACCACAAAGTCGGCCCGGGCCAAATTATACGTCTTTGCCAGAGCAAATGTACATTTGGTGTGCCAGATTAGGAAGCAGTGAGCCAGTTCGAACCTCTGATTTCTCCCACAGAGTTTGGGGTTTCAGCGGTGGAGGGAGCGCTCCTCTGCAGCCGACTCTTGCCCGCTTCATTTCTCCAGACTCCATATTATTCAATAAAACCTCAATAAAACAAATGTTGGACTAAAATCTGTGACGAGGAGGCGACTGACAAGAATGACAGAAAAGCCTCAACAAAGGGAAAAATACCAAGATAATATCTGTAAGGGTCTTTTTATTTTCTGTTAATACATGCAGAAACTGTTCCTTTAACAAAGTTCAAAAACAAACAAAAAAAACATTTTTGTTTCCTTTGTGAAGTTTTTCTTCCTCAGATTATCCATCTGGCAAAAGAAATGCAACAGCTACTGTAACTGTAAATTAATTTCAACATTTACCTAAAATAAAGTCTCTACAGGAACTGAAGATTCACATTTAGCCACAAATATAAAAAAATGTTGTTACAGATTTTTTTATTGTGCACACCTAAATGATAATTACCTTTGAGCAGAGACATTCAGAAATAAAAAAATATTCACAGAAGGTAAAGTATATCACTACAAATAACAAAAAAACTTGACGTATTCATGATTCAGTTTCTTAATCAAAACTTCCCACAATAACTAAACAGCCTTGTCTGCACTGCTCTGCATCCTTCAGTGTGCTGCGGATTCCTCCTCAGTGCATCTTTTATTGGGTTTTGAATGTTTTCTCTACAGTTTTAATCATTTGTTTTGCTCTGTGGTAATTCTTCACCAGCGTTAGGTTGGTAACCTTCCATACATCTCTCTGTTTGAAGGTACTTATTTCTCCTTTTTTCTGCCTCCCGTATGTTAGTGTTGGTGTAGAATGAAATAACAGATTTATTACTTGAAGTCTTGGTTATTTTTACAACTTATAGACTGTCGTCTCTCAGTCACAGCACGCACAAACACAGAATCTTTGAAGTAAATTTTTCTTTTAGCTGCAACAATCCTAAAAACAATCTGGTGGTGTGTGTGGATCAGTAAGTTCAGCTATCAGGAAGGAGCAGCCTGTCATTTGGAAGCGTTTACGTTGTTATCACAGCAAATCCTAAACAGTCCCAAATAGCAGGCAGATGCAGACATGCTCAGGAGCTCAATCTTCTGAAGAGCGAGCCACACAATGCAAAGCAGCAGACACAACGAGGCACGAGATGCACTTTATAATCCAAACTGATAGCTGTGCACACAACCACGTCCATGTACGATTCACGTCCTTGCATGCGTGCATCACATGCACGTGAACACGCGGTTACTGTGCCCAGAACGTAAACACTTTGCTCTGATGTCGGGTGGTCTGTTCACTTCTTCTGTTGTGTACAGATAAATCTCACTGTGGTCTGTTTCTGAACGCTGCCTGTTGGGTGACGGACTTGTTGATGCGTCCTTTCCGCAGCTGATGCAAGAACTATGCATGCTTTGGGGTGTTACACTTTTACTTCAGCATCTGTTCCATCATCTGGCCCCTCGAACGAGCCACTCGAGGACGCCACAATGACAATTAGGAAACCCGATTTTCAGTTATACGGGGAAAGTTACAAGGAGCCACCTCTCATTAAGTGTAAGTGTGATGTTGAGCATTTTAAAACGCCCGCTGGAAGTTGAGTTCAAAGTTAAAGCGACAGTTCAGATATTCTGAAGAAACAGTTGACATCTTACATGTTAGAAATATCTCTTCAAATGACTCCTCAATTTAAAGAAAACATGTTTAAATGTAACCAAACAGACCAGCTAATCGGTAGTAGAAACAGATTGATGCCACCTTTAAACAACCCCCATCTCAAAGATTTTGTAGGGTTCATACAAAAGCTATTTTATTAACCTTGTTTTATTCATGTTAAAATTATGATATTGCTGCCAGAGTTGCTACAGCTAGCTACATCTGCCTTTTCTGTCAGTAAGTACCTTCAAAATTATGTGTAGATAACCATTTATAATGAGGAACTGACAGCAATGTGAAGTTTTTTTTATAAATGTTTTAAGATAGAATTTGTTCTAAAGCAGCAGCAGTTTATTATGGTTTTCATTTTGGTCTGACCTGGGCTAGCTGTTAGCCTGTCAGTACGAGCTGAGGTTGTTCACAGAGGCATTTAAAGCAAGTAAGGTGGTCTGTTTTTTAACCTTTCTACTCACCCCGCTTTAAAATATCTGAACTGTCACTTTAAACCAAAACTATCTCAGAAGACAAAGTGGAATTCATAAAAAGTTATAATTTTATATCTAATTTCATGCAAGAAACTAATACTTTCTGTCGTAGCTTTTAGTGACAGCACAGGCAGTTTGAGGCCTCTAACAACATTTTGGTGCAACAAGCTAACAACATGACTTGTGAAATGATTGTCCCATAACAGACATCATAAAACAGTGCGTGTGAGTCCGGCTGTCCCTGACTTTCAGCTTGCAGCACTAACCACCACTCGATCTGTCTGTCAAGGCTCACAGAGCTCATACTAACAAGCAGCAAGCCTCCTCTCACAAGCAAACAGCTAAACGGCTCTTTGTCTGCAGTGTATGGAGCGTTTATTTGCATGACTGCATGTTGCGAGGTAACGCTTTTGCCTTGAAATGTCACTTTTTTCAGTTGAAGCCGAAAACTGTCATTCTCACTTTGTTGTCAGGAGTTGGCAACCTGTAGCTGCTCTCTGTTCAGCTGTAATCAGTGAGAGGCTGTGTTTCCTTTTGCAGAGACAAATGTCTTATATTTCTCACATATTTGTCACCTCCTGTTGGCATATATGAGGATTAAAGACAAAAGAATTTACAGTAGAAATAGTCTGTTTTCATTAATGTTCTTCACCTGTTTTCATCATAAATTTTATTTATGAGTTTTCTAACTAAAATCTGCACAAGAAGAAGAGTGTCAGAGCTTTCAGTCAGACAAACGATGTGGAAACATTCTTTTCTACATTAAATGGGATAATGTCATCTTGCCTCAGGCTTATACTATAATGTGCAAACAGTGTGTAAAAGAATCTTCTGATGTTAGGAATATTAGGAAGTGAAGCTTAAACAAAAGTTAACTAGAAAAAAGACAGAAAAAAATTTAAATGGCAAAATAGAGTTTGAGGGCTAGTGCTGAAGGAAGTTGCTGAAATTTGCTGAAAAAGTTAAAACTGATGTGGTAAATGTAAATCAAGCAAAACAAGAGATTAAATTAGCAAAAAAGTCTGGAATAAACAGAACACGGGGTAAAATGAGCATAAGTCGAGCTAATTGGCTCAACATGAGCTAAAAGCTAAAAGCAGTAGAAAAGCGGCTAAAAGTAAATCAGTAGCTCAAAGCAGAAGAACAGTAACTAAAAGCTAAAATTAGCTAAAGATATGCTAAATTTTCTTTAATAGTAAATTATGTCGGCTAAAGAGATGCTAAAGCTAAAATATAGAAATCAGTACCTATAATAGTCAATCAGATGGTAATTATAGCAGAACTTTAGCTGAAATCAGTGGAACAGTCTCAAAATTGAGCAAAACTGTTGGTAAAAAGCTTAAAAGCACGACTGCTATGAGCTAAAAGTGGTAATACCATAGATAAAACCTGAAAATGGGAGAACAATGACTAAAATCTAAGAGTCGTACATAAAGACAAAAAGAGAACAGGTATGTTAAACCAGACTAAAAAATGCTTTAAAAGAATCAGAATCAGGTTATATATATA